CCATGGTAAACACATTACTGTAATTTGAGTTTAAATAGGAGAAAAAAAGTGTACCTAAAAAGTACCAGTATCTCCTAGTATATGTGTATTTGAGCAATAAAGTTAAGATATAAATGCAATCAGGGGAACACATTTTTGCAAAAGTAAAATCTAAGTAACAGCAATAGAAATTAAGGACTTAAGGAAGCAAGATCCCTGTTTGCCATCTAGAAGCAAATGATCAACTGGATTTACATGCCATGTATGAACAAACCTACCCTTTGTAACAGGGATCAGAAAACTTAACACAAAGGGGCCAAATAAATATGTGAATGTTAGGTGTTAACAGGCCATAGTCTGTCACATTACTCCAATCTGCTACTGCAGCAGGAAAGCAGCCAAAGGTTTTATGTAAATAAACATGGCTGTGTCCCAGTGAGACCTTATTACTGGCACTAAAATTTTAATTTCATCTTTCCATGTGTCACAAAATATTACTTTTCATTTTTTTCAACCCTTTAGAAAATGTAAAAACCATTCCTACCTCAGAGAATGTATAAAAAATAAGTGACAGGCTGTAGTTTTTTGACCTGTTCATAACAACTTACTAGGTTAAGACTGCCGTATTTCAGTTTCTGTACTCAAAATTCACTATTCTTATTTTCATTTCCTAGAAAATTCCCATTCTACAAAAATAAAAATGTCTTTAGACACTTGCTAATTATTCAATTAAGTATCAAAATAACTATTATGCTATATTCCATTTTCCATTCCATGACTTTATTCTGAAGGTGAATTTTCTAGTTATATGCAATTTATTCATTTAAGAAATAATTCTATTATTGGAATTTATTTACTCCTTTTTGGGGGGCAGGATATTAAATAATGTATACTTTATTTTTTAAAAAGATTTTATTTTTAAGCAATCTCTACCCCCAATGTGGGGCTTGAACTCACAATTCCAAAATCAAGAGTTGCATGCTCCACCACTGACCGAGCCTGACAGGTGACCTGTAAATAATGTCTATTTTAAACAATTATTCAGGGTATTTATGAGTATCAGTTCTGGTACTGTTTTATATATAGGATACCTGCCAGCTATTTTCAAAGTTTATATGACTGTCCCTATACTAAAAAGCTACATACTTTTTTTTTTAATTCCGTGTGCTATCAATTTAAAATATTGCCTTCAATCTTATACTCTCAGGTAAAGGGAGAGATTATCTTTTCTTCTAAATGGTATACTTCAGAAGAGTAAGCATTTACAGCTTGGCACTTCATGTTTGGTTTTACTGTTCTTTGGCTTGGTATATAAAGAAAAAAATGGTTAAGACCATGTTATAAAATTTAACATTCTATTCCAAGAAATGAATGAACATTCAATTCTGTTAGACTATTACTCTATTAAATAGCTATAGATTTCAAACACTAATGACTCAGATTTTAATACTTTCAAAAAGCAATATACAAAGCCTGGCATATGATAAACATATCATATTAACTGGACCATCACAAACCGAAGCCCAGATTTGTTTTATAAATCAAGCAATCAACAAATTTTGATAAATCAATTAAAAAACCCCATTACTTAACTTCTGGCTACATTTTCTTTCTTTTTTTTTTTTTTCTGGCTATATTTTCTTAAGTGCTCTGGATGAGTACAATTCTTATGAAAAGAGTATTTAAAACATGTGAGGGAAACATAACAGAATGCTGAGAAAAACTCATTTTTAGAGAATCAAATTATTCAACTGTCTTTCAAACACCATTTTAAGATGAAATAGAAAATTTCAACAATGTAACAGCAAAGTAACCAGAGGTCTTTACTAAAATGACAAGTCAGATCTGTCAGGTAGGGCTTATGTGGGTACTGCTAACTTAACTGCCAAGTTAATCTTAGGGTAGTCTGTTTTCAATGAAGCCCCATAACTTAGAAGACAAGATTTATTTAGAGACTAAATATATTTCTAATATTTGAAAATTTACTTTTATATTAAAAAAAATGAGAACATAATCCACATACACTATTCATTAAAAAAGGCTCACATTGTCTCATCTGTTTAGTAAGGTTCTTTATAACATAAAATAACTGTTTGACTATTTAAAAACGTAAATCTTCGTCCCAAAACCATAAATTTTCCATATCTAAAAAAGGCTCCAAATGAGACAAAATTCTACCTTAAACTCTTGAGAAACTTTTGAACTCTAATTTGAAGCCTTCAAGACTAGTCGGCATCCCCAATCATAAACTTGAAGAAGTTATTTAAAAAAACACTAAATTTTATCTTTTGTAGCAATAATTCCTGGGACTTAAACCCACTTGTGTTATCACCTAATTCACAGTCTGAAGCCTCGTAGGCCTAACCACCACAAATGCAATCCATAGACATCAGCATTTGTATGGGTCATGTGGGAGCTTTTAGAGATGAACCATCAGGCCCCATATCTCAGACCTGCTGGATCAGAATCTGCATTTTCATATATACATACAAGTTTGAGAAGCACTGTGTTAAAAGTCAAAACTTAAACTCTAACACTTGTATACCATGTATAAGACCTTTCTGATGGCTTAGGGATAAAACAGACATGGGTTGTGCTAATGTGCAAACAGCTCCCTCTCCCCCACCAAAATCTTAGCCTAATAATGTCAGTAACTGCTATTTTATGGCCTTCTAGCCTAGCTGCAAATCATCTCCCTGAAAATCAATAAAAAAGAATATGAGATGGAAACTATGCCCTTCTTACTGGATTATAAAGTCATGTTGGAAAGAATGACATTAAGGTAAAATGTGAACCCTTTTAAGCTCATATTTTGTTAAATTCCAACAAAGGTTTTTAAAACAGCACTTATTTTTAATTACTGTCATTCCTTTATCTTAAAAAAAATACTCTAATTGTGTATTTTACACACACCCCTCCAATTTTCCCCTAATTTTGTTTCTTGCCCTGCCACTTTTATTTTAGGCAAAATATAATCCAATTTCCTTAACATTTTTTTGATTCTAAAATATGTAACAGAATCCCTGACTACTTTCAAGCTGTAAAGAAAAGAATCCATGAGCAATGCCAGAAACTATCATGTTCAGATTTAAATCTTATTTTTGACTATATTACCCGATAACATTATCACTAAACCTGATTCATCCTACACTATATGGAATTTGAGCAAAAGCTCCATACCATTTAACAATGGCTTTCAAACTTGTTCAAATATAACATCTTTGACAATGGCTCAGTGCAACACTGAAAACTTAAATCCACCATATGAAGTCCATTTTGGAACATGAGAAATTATACTGTGCTTCTGCAAGCAACCAGATTCTTTTTATAAATGCATAAAATAAGAAATCACATTTGAGTGTTCTTATTAATATTTGCCATTTGTTTTATTAACCCTTAGAAAATATTGAAAAAACTGATTTAATTTTAATAGTTAAACAACATACTGAATCTGATCAAGGAGAATTAATATTTTTTTGCTATTTAGGAATCATTCAGGGAAAAATTTAAGGCAAGAATATTAAAAATAAGGTGCCTCAAATATACACTTAACAACTATATCAACAATGAAAATTTAGCAAATTGGTTTCTGCCTTCAAGTAACATTTTTAAACACATCCTTGTTCAATCACAGTATTTGAAAATTAAACTTGTGCTTGTATCAAAATCAGTGATTTAAGTAAATGCTAATCAATGACTTTAGTCACATTTTCTCCTATGCTGTTCTTGTTCTCAAGAACTTCATTTCACCAGCTAGTTCACACAAACATTAAGATATAGTCATGAGATAAGCCAATTTTGACTCCATACAAACACATGTACATACTCCTTCTTACACCTGTTAACTAAAGATTTATGTGCCTCTTAACTGTAAAATATAATTTGGGAAATGGGAAGCAATATAAACCAGTTGTAATTCTGTTAACAAGTTTCTGTTTTTAGTTATTTCTTCAAGCTACAATCCTCAGTTTATGGTCCCAGAATTTCCTTTAAACCCAACCTTGGGATAGGACATGAAACTTATAACCCCCCACCAAAATATCTGTAATGATGATGGATTTCTAATTATGAAAAAGACACCAACTTTTCTGGCTGGCGGGTGGTCCCCTTCTGAATATAAGAACTAACTAAACACAAGAATTAAGCTTTCTGTAACTTGCTTAAGAATGTGTGCCTTTTCAAGCTGGTTAGTTCTGAATAAACTATGAAACTGTGATGGTCACTCACTCATTCTAATCAGAGAGCAAATGATATATTCTCACTGTAAAGAGATGAAACAAATATGGGAAGTCAGGCACTAATACTAGTCGGTAAAATTTACAAATGTTTTAATTATATACACCCTATTTTTAAAAACAGGCAAAACATACATATTTCAAAAGAACAGTTTCAAATTTCTTCCAAGTTTGCTTTAGGTGTAGGTGAAAAGAACAGATAATTTCTAGATTTCATATAGTCCAAGTTGTAACAAAAATAGTCAAACTAACTCTCCATTAAAAAGAAATGTAATGAAGCTTTCTAGTGGCTGATACCCTCCTTCCAAACCGCCCGCCCCCAGAAGTAATGGGTATGAATAACGAAGTTCTCATGTAACACTTTCTCATTTCTAGAACTTTAACTCCTTCTGGTTACTTTCGAAAATAAACTCATGTTGTTGCTAAGACTACTAAGTACAAAACTATTTGTATTTGTAGATACAGAATCCTACAAATATCTGCAGCAAGCCCACAAAGCACTTCTACTGTCAATACTGATATCTCAGTATTTAATATATACAAAATAGGTTTCTATTAAACAAAGGTATTCACAAGTAGCTGCAGAAAAATTCATGCCATTAACAAAGGCTGAAATTTATAAATTAAAAACATTGTAATCTATACATAATATACAGTCGTGCATTTTAAAATGAATATGTCTCATACGATTAAATTTTCACAAGCAAATGTTGCTGCACAAATGAATGGAATTTTAGTTATGTTCTGCTTTAATATTTTAACCCCAAAAGTTGCAGCTTTTGGTACTTTTCTTGAAAGCTGTCCAAAGTTGACATCTGCAGAAAAAATGATCCAATTCTTTTGCATGTCATTTTAGGTGAACAAATTTCTTAAACCTCAGGCACAACAAATATAAATTAAAAAAAAAAAAAGTATAAACACCTTTATCAGTTCAGCAAAAAATTCCAAATAGAAATGTTCAATTTTACTTACTTAAAATAAGGTATTTTTCATTTTTCATAAATGTTTCATCAGAATATGTAGGAGTTTAAGATGTGTGAATAAAATGCTTTTGTTTCTAGTTTTCACTTCCACATTTCAGTAAGATATTTAAATTTTTGAAAAACTATGCATAGCGGCCAAGAAAATATTGTATGAACAAAAATATTACATAATAAACTTACAAAATTGAACTTACATAAGTCACAGCCCTTCAGGGTTTGAAATGTTATCAACTTTGCGAACATTCAGTCTGAAATTGTGCTATATTTCAGAACTTATTTTATGATCACAAATCCAGTGATGTTGGACAAAAAAAAACAAACCTTCACTTTTCTCTTAAAATACTAAACAGAATTTTCATGGGTTGGTGACCTCCAACGTGACTGCAAATTTTTTATTATAGAGTTCGCCATGCTACCAAGTTTCTCATGCATTTCAAACAGCTGGCTTCCTGAATAATTATGGAGATCTTCAGAATCTAGTTGAAGGGCAAGTGCACTAATTTGTGCCACAAGATTTTTAGGTAACGGAGTTTCCAAAGCAACAGGATCAATTAAATCTAAAAGAAAAAGAAAAAAAGCACAATTAATCTACTCCAGATAAAACTTAAGTTGTACGTATCTCAAGTTAATAAAAAATTTAAGTGCTTAAGATTTAAGCTGAATGTGCAGGCTGAGGTACTGCTATTCCTCAAGAGAACAAGGCAACAGAAAAATCTACACCATAACTTATTCAGTGCCATTAAAGAAATAGCCAGGATACCTCATTTTTATTAACAGCATAATTGGAACACGCTGTTTAGTTTATATACTTGAGTAGCAGTTGACAGTTTGAGAAAAACAACTAGACATACTTGGAGTCAATACCAGTTACTTTTTCAAGCACTTGGCCACTAGCACCAAAAAAACCCCCAAAAAACAAAAACAAAAAAACCCAAAGAACCCCAAAACCTTATCAAATTAACAGAGCATGGTCAAATTAAAACTAGAAGCATATATTCAAACTCAGCTGATCCTGTAAATAAAATTGTCCCGCTTTGCTAAAACATACCTGAGGCAAGTCTTTCTTCATCAGAAGGGAGAGATTTAGTTTGTATTCCATTTACTGTTTTTTCAGAAATATCAAAAACTGGAATCTCCTCTAGTCCACGAGACTTTACCTTGATTATACACAGGCCAGTAAAACAAAAACAAAACCAACAAACTGAAAGTTGCTTTTAAAAGGACCAACATCACCAGCACTGGAAAAGAATGTGACATACGTTTCCCAACCCATCACATGACTATTAGCTTAGTAAATCTTGTTAAGAAACTAAGGTCTACTAAAGACACACACACAAAAAAAGGGATTACAAAGTGTTTTCTGTTCTCTCAAAAAGCTGGTTAGGAGTTCATAATATTTTAGAATGGGCTTCTCAAGAAATAGCCATGGTAGCCAAGAAAATTACATTATATTTCCCAAGTTTAGGAGCATAAGAAAATCCAAGACAGAGATTTCCAAGCTTAAAAAACGTATGGACTTTTTAAAAAAAGAATACAATTTTGAAAGATGTTCCCAGGCTTACTGGTTAGTGATTGAGAAAATAATATTAGCTTCAAAAGGTTAGTTACCATACTGATGGCTCCATCAATTCGACTCCTATGTAGACACCCAACAGAAAGAATAACATGTCCACACAAAAACTTGTATATGAGTGTACATAAGAGCAAAAGGTAAAAACAATCTAAATGTTAAGCAATTGATGGATGACCTAAATGTTGTATATTCATACAAGGGCTATTATTTAGCCATAAAGAGGAATGAAGTACTGATACACATGAACCTTGAAAACATTGCTCAAAGAAGCCAGTCACAAAAGACCACAGCTTATATGATCCCACTTTTATGAAAGGTCCACAGCAGGCAAGTCAATGAGACTGAAAATTACTAATATAATCTTTGGGTTTCTTAAAGAGTTTTTAAAGATTACAAATATTTAATAATCTTTAAATCAAAGACTTTCAAGAAAACAGAGGTCTTCAGTAGTTAGCAAACTCCAGTCTCAGAAATTCTAATATAAACATTGGTTTTCAAGCTTTAATGTACCCTGTTTTCATTTATTCACAATTTTGTGTAATTTCAGTGGACACATAAAGGGTCTAGGTTTCAATACAGTCTGAATCCTGAAATGATATGAGTTCTCCACTTATATTTTTATTGGGAGTTGGGGGTGGAGAATCTTGGCTTTTATCAGAATCTGGAAAAATGGCTATGACCCAAAATATTTATGTGCAAAAAGTTAATGAGAACAAGAAAAATTAGTTACAGCTGTGTTGGACATCAAAATTGAAATACTGTTAACTACACATTTGCAAGATTTTTATTATAATGTTTAGATTTGAACATCCAGGTTTTAGAATAGCAGCCATGGAACCAATCACCAATTTGGTGGAAATGAATGAGGTAAGAGGGTAGAAGAGAACTCAAAAGAACAAAGAGATGCATTACACAAAATGGTACAAAATCAAGAAGCAAACTTCTCTGGGGAATTATAAAGTGATCTTTTAAGTTAACCTTGCCTGTGGGGGAAGGGAAGAAAAGGTGGCATAAAATGAGTTTTTAAGCAAGACTACCAACTTCTGTAATTGTTACTGTGAGTTTATCTATACATGATTTAGAACATCTAAGTTTACCTGCTGCTCATGATAGACTCTAAGAGCCTTTTTTACATTGGACACTTTTGGAGAACGGATAGGAAGAGTTTTTATTTCAGATGCTGTAAGAGTACTCAAATCACCAATCGTTTTTATATTCTTAGCTCTAATGAGCTGTCCCAGTCCTCTTGCCCTGAAGAGGTTAAGAAAAAAAAGGAAAAACGTCATCATATACTTTCACATTTCTTCTATTTGTGAGGGCCTACCCAGCTCAGTTTCCTGAATTTATGCTGAATCATAACTGAATTTTATATAGGCTCACCTAGCCCACTCTGAGGATAGGCACATATACATTTAATTTAAAACAAAATTTGAATTTGATATGTTTGCCTGGCTTAAGCATAGTGCTGGGAAGAGGCTAAGCGCAATGTGTGTCTGACTTCACTTACATTATGACTTAATGGTTGCATGACTCTGGTGGATTAACCTTTGTAAACTTCAACTTGTAAAGTGGAAATAATAATTATACTCCTTATGGGATTTATAATTACGATTAAATAAGAGAACATATGCAGAGTTCGGCACAGCATCTGGCAAATATTAAGCACACAATTATCTTAGCCATTACTGTATTATGGTAGATGCTTCTCTTATTGCCCTACCTGTCCCATCTTTCCATATTTTTTTATTTCTAAAATAAAATGTGTGCAAGCGCGTGTAAGTCAATTCTAAGTATAAGAACCTCGATCATTTTAAATATTCCTCTTAAACAAATGGCATCTTTAAGTATAAACCAGCACAAGTAACTACTTACCACATGTTTGATGTAATCTGAGGTAAAATGATATCAACTGGAGCCACACAGTTCACCAAAGCTGGGTAAACACTTTCTGTTGGACATGGCATAGATTCTTTAGCCATTTCTGTAATCTTAGAATAAATTTCAAAACCGTTAAATAGAGGTCACCTGACTGAACATGAAAATATAAAGTTGCATGAAAACTAAAGCACTTCTTACTAAACACTTCTTTGAGCTCTTAAATTTAGGGCTACGTGATCCTGGGGACAGAAATCCTTTGGTTGAAGTGGCATTATGCTAGATAGAAGGAGAGAAAAAAAAACTCAGAACCCTAGAAAACTATAATTTTACAACTTTACTTTCATTACTTAGAGTGCAGTAACGTCCTAAAATTTTGAGAAAATGTAAATGCAATAACCTATTACCTAATCAATTACTGGATTATCACTGCCTCTTCCCACCTCTTCATGTTTGTTTACCATGTTGCAGACAAAACAATGTATCCAAACCAAAGAAGTCTTATTCTTTATTCGTTTTAAGACAAACTACACAAGGCAATTCTGTACCTGCATACATACGTGCGTATTTTAAAGCCCACAGCTTACCTTAGATTGTGCAGTAGGTGAAGTTTTAACACTTTTTACTATGGGAGAATTATTTGAAGAATGGGACCTAACAATAGAGCATCGCCTATCAATGTCATCTGCCAATCCTGCTTGGTATATTGGATCTGCAAAGGAGACACGGCGAACCTAAAAACACAGGTCATGTTTTTATTTAACAAAATTAAAGTAAAAAAAAAAAACAAAACAAAAAAAACAAAAAACAAACCATACCATAAATACTCATTATACGGTCCCCCTAAAATAGAATGTAGGTTTAGAAGCTTAATTTACTTCACTAGAAGCCAGGTGCACATAGTTGTATTTCTTCCTAACGGCTGCTTTCACAGATACTGCTTAATACCACAGGTCATTCCAATTATCCATGTTCTAAATGGTCTCTACGTAATATACCAACAAAGACTGAAACAAGGACAGTGGCAGAAAAATGAAACTGCATGTAGCAGCTGAAATTATACCATCAAATTATACTAACCTTGTAGGCTTACTACAGTGACTTAAAAATACAAGGTAAAGAGGCAGAAATAGTACTAAGTGGCCTCTGGTATATCATACTAACCCCTGTTCTAAACTCTAGAGGGTACCAGAGTCACAGCAACTGGGTGGCAATTTTTCACTTTCGCCTCTTCTAAACTCTTATGTGTTCATTCATTCAGCTATCTGATATAATATGCAATGAATAAATATGCAATAAGGCATAACCACTAACCATGTATATAAATGTCTCCTGGTCTTGATTCCCAAGAGTGGGCAGATTCTGTACACATCTGCTACAGAAAACTATAATGTCTTACTGTTGCCTAAACAAAAATTAAATTTGAGGTACTATCAAATAAAACATGACTAGTTAACTTTTATTAACAATCTAAAACATAATGAAGAAAAATAAATATACTGAAGACCTCAATCCCAACGTATTCTATCTTCATACTTCTCAAAGACTTCCAACTTAAGATACTTTAAAAAAGAACCTCAATATAAAAACAAAGCAAAACAAAACCAAAAAACTAAATTCTCAGTGTAAGAATTTTTGGTACATCTTGAGGAAGTCTTCACAATGTGCTTGCTAGAGGCAATATTAAGTCTATCCTCTATCTATAATGTATGTCTGTATATATAAACACATGTATCCTAAAGTAAATAGCAGATTCAATTTCAAAGTTAAAGAATGCTCACATCATACCTTTTTAGATGAACATCTCCTTTACTAAAGAGAGAACAAGCTGAGCTATGCAAGCACAAGTAACTTTTACTTTTTTAATTTATTCATTCAACAAATTATCTGCAAGTTACAGGGTCAGGAGCTAAAGCAAATACATAGAGAGAATCCATGTTTACAAACCAAAGAAGTCAGTTTAGTGAAGATGGGGAAATAAAATTATAAATGAAATCACATCCAGAAACTGATAAAGGCACAGCCCTGAGACTTTTTTTTCATTAGACAAGGTCTGGAAGTAAGAGTTTATATAAACACTTAAATGTGAAACAGACTGCATAATGTCCTAGCACTCAGTGAGTGCTAACTAAAGCTGTTTTATCAGTTTCTAAATGTTTCCTATGTTATGAGCAAAAAAAAAAAAATCAAAACCAAAAAACCATGAGAGATCCTCATCAATTCTGCAAAAGGTGAACAATGTACATGGCTGAAGATCTTTAGTGTCCTAAAGTAAAGGAATATCTAAGGGCTTCAGTCCCCTTTTATCAACTTTTTCTTCTACCTGCCCTTTTCCCTAGTCGCCGTTTAATTATTCAAAATGTGTTGGTTCTATTAATCTAATATTCTGTCATTCACCAGGAATCACTGTATGGCTAAAATTCTCAATTAAATATGGGCTTATTAATATTCAGCCTCAATTCCCCTACCTTGTGAACAGGTGACGATATCTCATCTTCCTGAGGCCTTTTTAGTCCTCTCTTTAAAATGCTGGTCGATGGAGAAGCCAAAGGAGACCATACACAGCGTGTCTGCATGCCACTAGGACTGCCATTTGCTGATACAAGTAAAGGATCAAGTTCCCTTAATTTTTGAGGAGATGCATTATTGTCTTCTGTTATTAGTTCAGAGATGGCTGTTTCAGATGTCAGAGACTCTGATGTTTCCTCCACTTTCTCCGAAGTATGGTGAACTTCCTGTAAAATCTCATTTCCCCCCACCATTTGATTGTCATCTGATGTTGTTTCTTCAGACTTATTAAGTTCAGTATTTGTTTCAGTTTCATTAGAGTCAACTTTTCCTTCTTCAGTGCTCATCCCAAGTCTGTTGAGAACAAAACTGCCGATTTCCATAGTTGAAGTCTTTGTATCGGCTTGTACTGGCTTAGTAGAGATTTTGGTAGTCGAGTCCCCGTCCTCTGTTTCACTGACTTGGTCAGCTTCAGCACTCACCTCACCCATCACTGTCTCCTCACAGTTTTCCATTTCAGCATTCATTTCTTCAGATGAGCCTGGACTAGATTTGTCACTTCTTTCATCTAATTCCCCAACTGCTGTTTGTTCAGGTATCTCTACCTGAGCACTCATTTCTGTGGTATTATCAGAATGACCAAGACCAGAATTAAATTCTTCAGTTACTGCTTCTTCAGCCTTCAGTTTTTCAGCTGCCTCTGCTTCAGATTCATCACTTCTTTCACTATTTATCTCCATTACCTCTTCTTCACTAACACCAGTTTCAGTACTCTTTTGTTCAGAAAAGCTAGCTTCAGATTTATCACTTTCTACATCCAATTCAACAGCTTCTACTTCTGGATTGAATTTTGCTTTAGCTTTACATCCATCTGTTTCAACATTGACAATGTTCTCTATACTTAATTCCTTTTCCAAGACAGCCTCTGACTTTTCTTCTTTGGTCTCCAAAGTAGAATATTCCAGTGAATTATCTTTGGAATCACCTAAACATGGTCTAACAGTTTTAGATTTTTTATTGGATGGTTCTTGGCTTTCAAGAGGTGTTGTTTCTTCAGAACCCATATCACAAGTTTCTTCTTCAAAATTTACTACTTCAGAAGGAAGAGGGTTTTGAATAGTAATTTCTTTCAACTCACTTTCAGATATAATTAATGAATCATTAACAGCATCACTCTCCTCCTTGAGTCCCAAATGAAAATTCACACCATTATGTTCATCTGAAAGTTTTAACTCAGAGCACAGATTAGCTTTAGAAGTCTCTGATACATTTACAGGTGTTTGCATATCTGTCTTTTTTGTTTCATTGACTTTTATATCATAGTTTTCTGTATTCTTTAACCCAATGAATGACTTTTCCTGAGGCTGTGATTTTTCTCCACAGCAATCACAACCTTTAGATCTCCTTACCCTCCTACTTCTCTTATGCTGGCATTCAAGTGTTTGAAAAGTTTTTTCAGAAAGCAAAATGTCTGATGTCCCTATTTTTGAGGATTCTCCCACAGTGTTATTTTCTATAGAATCTCGTTTTTGTAATCTCTTGCTGGCATTTCTAGTCCTTAGATTTGATTCTGGCACAGAAGGGTTTGAAAAGGAGTATTCTGTACATTTGCTGGTTTTACTTTTTCCCTCGTAAGTAGTTGACATGTCATCAGAAACCTGCAATAAATCTGAAGATACTGTAGAATCTTCAAGAGTTACATTATTACTCTCATCTTTTTGTTCACAAATCTGAGATTTTAGGTCTCTCTCTACTTCAGAATTTGCTTTGCAATCAAGTGTCTGGTTTTCAACATTTACACATTCCTGTTTTATTACTTTCTCCTCCTGATCTTCAATGTCAACACTATCACTGCTTTTGTTTTTCCATTTTCCATATCTCTTCTTTTTAGAACCTTCTTCTTTTGCCTCAGAACTATCAGATTCTGAGTTTTCAATGCTGGAAAGTAAACCTTGGGATGCTCTTCTTGTTTGATACCGTGTTCGACCACTTACTGGTTTTTCAGAGGACTTATCTGCAAAGTCCTGGGCACCATCTCCCTCAGATTTAATATTCTCAAGGTCTAGCTTTCTTTTACTTTCATCAATTTCAGCAGTAGTGCTGGTTTCCCCAAAAGTCTTCTCGTGTACATTATTTCCTTTCTCAATTAAATTTTCCTGTACAGTTTGTTCAGAAATCAGTTTTTGCTTAGGTAACACATCATCTTTTACATGCAACAGACTTTTCTGAAGGGTCTTTTCTTCTTCCTTACGTCTTTCTTTTTTTTGATGATTATTTTCTTTCTCTTGGCTGTCAGTGGTAGGCTCTGCTACTTCTGAACGTCGCCTTGATGACCGTCTAAGCGTTTTCTGATTTGGAGTTATCTGAACAGGACTATCCTCATCTATCATTTGATCTGCTGGTATTGTAGCAGGGGGTGTATTTTCTTTGGATTCCAAATTGATTCCTAATGTTTTCTCTTCTACAGTATTGTTTTCTAATAATACTACATTTTCTATTGTTGGTTTAAGCATTGTATCCTCATATTCCATCATAGATTCAGAGAGATGAACCTGATTATCTAACACACATTCTGTTTGATTAAGCAAACCAGGTGGGTTATTTTCTAAAACTACTGTGCCATCAATAGATTCCTGAGTATTTTTCTCTTGATCGGATCTCATTAAGAGCTTAGACCTTTTGTTCCCTATTTGTTCAGCTTTACTTGACCTTCGGCTTGATCTCTTAATTCCATGTGCTATTTTTTCAGAATCACATTTTGCCAAAACCATTTCTCTTTTCTTTGCTTTTGGTGGAGTATCTGTTTTACCCATGACTTCCTGGTTATTTTTCACTGTTACAGTTGATGACATATTATTTAAGGGGGACGGACTAAAAGGTCTATTTTCAGAACCATCAAACTTCTCCAAAGTAATAAACGTTTGCCTCCGACTTGTAGGCTGTGGGGGAGTTCCAGAAATAATGGTGTTAGAAACTGAGCTACTGTTGAGACCAGAAGTATTTTCTGCATTAGATGCACATTCGGTTGTATTCTTTGATGAAATTAAAGCTTTCTTTCTGGCATCATTATTACTGCTCGGTACTTCTGGACTCGTTTCCTCATTACAGCCACAGTCATTATTTGAAAGAGAAGCCTTTTCAAGATGCTCATCCATACCACAGTTTTCCGTGACATCTTGAGAAATAACAATGTCACTTTCCATTTGTTCCTCCTGCACAGAAACGTACACATGTATATAGATTAAACAACAAACAAGATTTCTGAGGGAAATCGTAGTGTAAAACTTCAGAAATTCAAAAGGCAATCACTGACTTTCAGTATTTTGCAAATATTCCAAAGGTGGTGATAGGAATTAATGGGTGGTGATGCCCATTAATTTGTGTTTCTAATTATAAATATTTAAAAAAGCCAAATATATATATATTAAACACCCATACACTCACACACATCTACCAACACAGTAACTACAATTCTGTGAAAGTCTATCAGTGAGAGTTATGAGATTATGCAATATATCTTAAAATTAATACAAGAGACTTCATAATGGAACGATTCTAAAAACCCCCAAACATGAAATACCAAATATACCTTAGGTATCACCTTGGAATCTTCCTTTGATTTTTCAGTTACAGCAGGAATTTCCCTAAAGCAAAAATGTATGAATTAAAATACTGTTTTTAATTAAAAATTAGAAAACCAGTTACTTCAACAGCTTCCGTACTTACATGGACTCTTCCTGGGTATACTGAGAAAACAAAGTGTCTTGTGAAACATCCAGATTATTATACATGACAGGAATATCGTATCTGAAAAAGATCTTACATAAATAACTTCAAAATGTGGTATTCCTATAATTAGAAATTAAACTTAGATTTGTACATCTAGTTATCTTTTAAGAACAATGTAAAATTAAGGCTTAGATGTTTATTTTCCATGAAATCATCTTCTCTACTTTTTCCAACACTACCTCCATTAATGATTCAGCTCTGAATGCATAAACCTTTGGTACATTACTAAGTAACCATATATATTATCAAGTGCGGCCACATTTGGCGTATCTTTTTGGCATTAAAATATAGCATATTATATGTAGTATTTTAGTTCTAAACACAAAGTTACAGTTACCGCATGAAATCTAAATATAGGTACAGAATACCCAATTCAAGATAAAAGGCTACAAACCTCTTTGTTTTGAATACTTCTTTCTGATGTTCAGTTAGTATTCTTTCCTTTGCTTCTTTTCCTTCTGGAGGTATAAACACAAAGTCAATAGACTTTTCCTCTTCCAAAGGCATTTCACTCTTTGTTTTTGTAGAAGACGATTCTAATTTCAACTGCAAATTTGTAAAAGGCAAATGTACGTTTGAGTTTCCAAATTATTTTCCAACACTTCAATCAATCTCTATTCTAGCACTCTAGTGAAGTTAATTCAATAATGACTAGGAAGTTTGAAGTTCAAACCTATAGGATATCCTTGGTTAATAATTAGTACAATGTCCTTCCCTTTCATTCTGCTTCTAATAAATATTCAGAAAATAAAATTACACCTCTTTAAAAAGTAGGCAACTTACTTACCAACAAAGCACAGACAAATGTTTTTCCGGCCAACATATGGAAATCAAGTGATTTGGCAAGAAAAGAATGTATCAGCAGCTCTCAAGTTGAAGCATAAACTAAGTCAAATTAAGTAAAAGTCACCGAAATAATACACACTCCATACCAGTAACATCAGTACTGTTATTTTTACAAATTTTCAGTTCAATTGTTTTCATTCTAAAGTTGCTACAAGACTGTATTGAGAGTCGTTCTTTAAAAATAGTATTTTTTCTTTCATTTTTGCCAGGGCCATGGTTTCAATATTCTATAATACCCTTATTGAAAGTCATCATGGAGGAATTATTGTCTGAAAATCAGTTAACTGGCAATTAGTAAGATTAGCAGTATAAGATGAGGCCAAAATAGATATCTTACCTAGATGTTCTCTTTCTATTCAATAACAGAAGTTCTAAAATGTTCTCTTATGCTACCTATGCTGTAACTAACATACGTAGAGTTCATTCCATCTCAAGGGGGCTACTGCCTGAATTAACTATAATTAATGGATGCTACACATTTTTTTTTTAAGGATTTTGTCAGAGAGAGAGAGAGAGAGCATGCACATGCACAAGCAGGAGGAGCGGCAGGAAGGGGAGAAGCAGGCTCCCCACTGAGCAAGAAGCCCAATGTGGGGCTGGATCCCAGGACCCTGGGATCATGACCTGAGCTGAAGGCAGGCACTTAACCAACGGAGCCACCCAGGCGCACCTGGGTGCTACATATTAAGTAGACTTACCTTTAGTAAGAATGAACCATTTCACAAAGCTTCTAGATTTCCACACTATCTTAAGTCTTTTTAGACCAAGCTCTATTATTCTCCCTTAATCCTATCTTTTATTTAGCCTTTAATCACTTTTTTTTCCCAATTAGAAGCTGTATGTTCTCAAGCTACGATCTACTTTTATATTAAAAGTTCTATTAAGTTTAGAAAAACATACTTTGACTGGTGGTTTCTTATTTTCTTTTGCATCCTTTGTTTGTGCCAAAAAAGAATCTCTTTTTCCACTTGATTTTCTTTCCATGCCACTTATCTTCATATTTAACTGTGAATTTTCTGTCTGTTTTATTAAAAATAAAACAATTTTTAAGTGCAAATGTTCTATTTCTCCTTTTCATGCTTTGAAAATTCCAGTATAATATACATTTCAAATATCAAATTCCTTCTCATTATTCACTTATTAAAATCATATCAAAGAAAAGAGCCATTGTTTAATTAACATCTCTAACTCAGTTATTTTGTACCATTTTTATAAATTTTATGAATTCTGGATATTTTGAGAATTTTACAAATTCTAAAAAGAAGATACACCATATAAATACTAAAAATGAATCAAATTAATGAACTCAAAGACCCCTCCTATTACTGGGAATATTTCTAAGAAACAATCACAGGCATAAAACTTTAAACATCAAACAAACAATGAGGCATGCATGATACAAAGTATTACCTACCATGTCCCTTTTAGACTTTTTCAGGACAAATTATACCAAACAAGTCTCAACAAGTGTAATTATCTGATAAGAAAATTTTATTTTAGCCAAAAAACAAAAACTGGAGTGCTTAGGTAGCTGTTAACTTTTTTTCTCTTACAGGTTCTAAACAATTAACAGCCAAGACTCCATTTGTTGTTGAATAGAGAAAAAGTTGTCTAATGATGTCCTACCTCATGGATATGTAATACTCATGCCTTTACTGCTTGATCCTCAGATAGTAATTATTATTAGCCAAAGTAACCTTGTTCCAAATGGGTTATATGATAGCAAAGATGTGTTTTTCTGACAGAAGGAATGAGATTTGATGTGAAGAACTGAGAAAATGAAGGACAGCTCATGCTTAGACACAGACCAGTAACTATTATTCCTGGTTTACCTAAAGCAACACTTAACCATGTATTTTAATAATTACATTTGCAAAGGAATACACATTAAATGCCATAGTTCAAAAAGGATCATTAATGAACAAGAATCAGAGACTATTTACCTGAGAATCTATGGTGAAATTTACTGCCCTTAAATCAGAAAAGTATTTTAGGCCAAAAGGCAAAAAAAAAAAAAAAACAGATAAAATAAACAAATGAAATTGCATCAAATTAAAAACCTTTTGCACAGTGAAGGAAACCATAAACAAAATGAAAAGGCAATATACTGAATGGGAGAAAATATTCACAATCCATCTGGATAAGGAGTTAATAGCCAAAATACATAGAGAACTCATGCAACTTTATATTTAAAAAATATCCCAATTAAAAGATGGGTAGAGGACTTGAATAGATGTTTTACCAAAGATATAGAGGGCCAACAGGCACATGAGAATATATTCAACATCACTATCATTATCAAGGAAATGCAAAGGAAAATTACAATGAGGTATCACGTCACACCATTAAGAGTGACTATTATGGAAAAGAAAAAACAGCAAGTGCTAGCAAACGTATGGAGAAGAGGGAACCCTCACACAACTGCTGGTGGGAATATAAACTGGTGCGACCACTATGAAACACAGTATGGAGGTGCCTCAAAAAATTAAAAATCGAACTACCATAGAACCCAGTAGTTTCATTTCTGGGTATTTGTCCAAAGAAAACAAAAACACCAATTTGAAGAGAGGGTCACCCCCATGTTCACTGCAACATTACTTACAATAACCAAGGTAATAGAAACAATGTACCACCCGACCATAAAGAAGAATGCAATCTTGTCGTTTGTGACAACATGGATTGACCTAGAGAGTATTATGTTAAGTGAATGTCAGACGAAGACAAATACTGTATGAATTCTCTTAACATGTGAAATCTAAAATATAAGATTAATGAACAAACAAAGCAGAAAACAGACTCAAAGACAGGAAACAAACTATTGGTTACCAGAGGGGGATTGGTTGGGGACAGAAAAATTGGTGAAAGGGATTAAAAAGTACAAACTTCCTGTTATAAAGTAAGTCATGGGGATGTAATATACAGTATATGAATACAGTCAGTAATATTGTCATAACTCTGTATAACAGATGGTAATTAGACTTACGAAGATCATTTTATGATGTATAAAAATATCAAATCACTATGATGTATACCTGAAACAGGATACTCTATGTCGATTATACTTCAATTTAAAAAAAAATTGTTTCAAGCCAGGCAACAGACTTTATAAAAAACCCTATATTATGATGCTCTTATGCTCAAATTTTACTCGTTTATCACATCAAAAAAAAAACATTCTAAGATTCTGTCTTTTAAAAAATTACACTGCAATCCAATAAACAAACTACTCAAACATCATTCAAAAGTAAAAAACCTCAACTTACTGCATTTGAATATGGTCCACTGGATTCCTCCATAATTTCAACATTTTCCAAACCAGGTAAAAGCAAAAGAAATTTCTGTTTGGCTTGTCTTAGTACTGGTCTTTAAAAAAGTACATAAACATATACACCTTGAGTCAAGCAGTACTGGTGAATACTGATATGTTAACAAGAACACTTCAGTTATAATTTTAAAATGGCAAAATATATCCACCTTAAAGACTGTTTCTCATTCTACATACACAAAACTGGGACAAATGTAAAACATTTAGTTTTTTGCTAACCTCTTCAGTTCCCGAATTTTCTTCAAGAAGTTTCCCAATTTTTATCATGCAAAATTCCAAGCAAAAGTAGACTATTAAATTCCTGTGTACACATCACCCAGATTTAATAACCACCAATTCCTTGCCTTTATATTTCTTTTATTAAGGAAAATTTAACACTGCTTTTTATGTTCCTAAAACCACGGGTTACTCTAAGTACCAAAGTAAAAGGTCAAGTTATGTTTAATAGTTACCATGTATTACAAATTAACATTTGAACTGAGGAAAGTTCTGCAATGATTCCTCATAAGAAAAATTCATGTTAAGACCAAAATATCAATTTATGCAATCACAGTAACTATATAAAATAGTTTTGTGGTTAGCATACTTTAACTCTTCAGGATAAGTCAACGTGGACACTTTAGCAAATGTGGCGTTCCAGAACTGAGCACTTTGTTTTCTAATCTGTTTATTCCTGTGCAAAAATATTATGCATAATAATGGAGAGATGTGTTCAAGAAGTTCGCTGTCATAAGTTCCAGTGTAGCTGAAGTGTAGACAAGTAATTATCTCTCCCAGTAGCTTTTCTAACTAGGAAAAAGGAAAATTTTATTAGGATACCCTATGGAAATGTTCTTTTAAAACAGGAAAAATAAAACCCTGAAGCATACTCAACAATTCACAACATGTTACTATTTCAATTTTTTAAATTCAAACTTTTTTTCTTTAAAGCTCCCATATGGGGTGCCTGGGTGGCTCAGCTGTTAAATGTCTGCCTTCGGCTCAGGTCATGATCCCAGGGTCTTGGGATCGAGCCCCGCATCGGGCTCCCTGCTCAGTGGGAAGCCTGCTTCTCCCTTTCCCACTCCCCCTGCTTGTGTTCCCTCTTGCTGTCTCTGTCAAATAAATAAAGTCTTAAAAACAAAAACAAAAACCTCCCATCTGTCGCCTTAAATATGATTATAAACTGACATATTATCAGGTGAATTTACTGTAATTATCAATATAAGACCTTGATTTCAAACTTATTTTCCATTAACAGAAAAAATTACATTTTCTCATGAACAGAGATTAACAGTTGACTACCCAAGTTTTACCTATAAAATACTGGAACCAATTACCCTCATGTATAAAGAGTAAGATAGGAGGTGGGGAGTAGTATGAATTTTAAGCAACATTACTCAATCATTCTTTAAAAACTATGTGCCCATGTCATGTTATCAAATGTCCATTAAACTGGAAATATAATCCTTTTACAAATCAGAACTATATATAAGGAAGACAATTACCTAAACCCTAACATTTTTTTCACCATGAAAGTATGTTTTACAGACAACTGTCCATTTTTACCTTGTTGCTCATACAACTATACACTTTAGGAACTTCATCAAGCCTGGGAAGAAAAACACAAGAATACCACTTACATTTTAGAAAGTTAAACCTAAAAATATATAATGCAGCCATAAAAATGAGACTTGTGTAAGTGATAGAAGAAGGTGCCCCAAGACTTAATTTTAAAAATGTCAAATTATCAAACATTAAAACATGAAACAAACCTATCTTTAAAAAATGAACCACAGAAAAACATCTAGAAATACCTCAAAATACTAATACTTGTTTCTGTACCTCTTTTAAAAAGCATAAATAATTTGTATGCTTAAAGACTAAAAGAAGATGTGCAAAAAGCTAGTATTTTTGGGGTTCTACTTTGTACTTTTATAAAATTTGTTCCTAAAACTTTCTCCATGAATTTATAAAAGACAGACTATTATGAATGAACCACATAAGCTTGTTAGAAAAAAACACTGTTGAATCCTTTCAAATTGCTTTTTAAAAAAGTTATGTTATTTGGAATTTTTCAGGGTTCAAGGCACTGCTTGCTTCAATTCAAATGTAAAGGATAATGTAAATTAAATTTTTACAGGATAATTCAGAAATTTAAATGTGTATACCTTTTGAACCACCAATGTGACATCTAGGACCTCTTTCTGCAGTAGTGGCAAACGTGGACACTGACATGTGTACAAATATGTTCAACTGTAATATTGTTAAGTTAGGAGGGAAAAGGCTAGAAAAACATGTATGTCTGCTAACAGGAAATTGGGTATAGAAGTTTTATGGAACCCTCTGGAGACATCAAAGAGAATGAGATTCTTAGATGAATGGTGCAAGATGCATACAATATTTTAAGGGTATACCATGTACTTAATTGCGAAGTAGCATTTCAAGTATGCTTCATATACATCATGTTTAACAGGTATGCTTGTTTGTATTATCAAATCTGAAAAGGTATGGACGAAATTGAAAAGGGGGGTTGAACTAGCACACAACATTTACAGACTCCCAATTTCTACCTCGTATTTATGTGTGATTTGAACTATCTTTTTAACAAATGCAGTTTAATATATTACCCCTTCACTAAATTTTAGCAAACACCATCCATAACAACAAGCTGATAGGAAAATGACAAAAGTTTACTACCTAGATCTAAAGACATGTAATTTAAAGTTATTAAGTAGAAATTCTAAATACTTACTTTAAGTTTTCATAAAATAATGCCAGAGGTCTTGTTAAAGTTGCAAATATTTTTCGGATCATAGAAGGCAAAGAAATACGTCCAAGTACATTAGAAAGAATACTGGTGATTGAGTTGCCAACAGTGAGGAGAGTATCAGAATGTACTTCCTTGAAGCTCAGAGTGTGGAAAGAATAGATCACTCTCACAGTAAGTTTAAATAAAGAAGCCAATTTCCCTAGAGGTTCTTTCTTCTTTTTGGACCAATCTGAAGGTCTCTGTGGTGCTAAGATAAAATTGAATTTATTAAAAACTCAAGTACTTTGAAAAGTGTTACTGTACGTCTTTACAATTTATACCTCATTTAAGTGACAAATACACCTAAAAAAATGACAGATACTTCTAATATACATGTTTCTGTAGAGTGATACCCACAAACCTTAAAATGACATACCACTAGTGGATAAATATCACAACACTGTCTTTACAACCGAAGCAGAGACAAAGAAAAACTATTTGGCAGATCAAGAAGTCTAGAAAAATGAGTATTTTCTCTAAGGAGTTATAAAATGCATTTCCTATGTTTATATCCTCTGAATTTCAACAACTGATTTGTAAGAAAGTACTAAATCATAACACAGGGTCCATGGGGCGCCTGAGTGACTCAGTCTCTGACTCTTGGTTTAAGCTCACGTCATGATCTCATTGGTGGTGGGATCAAGCCCTGAGACAAGCTCTGTGCTCACTGGGGAGTATGCTTGAAGATTCTCTCCCCCTGCCCCTCCCCCCCACTACATGCAAGCACTCTAATATTTAAAAAAAAAAAAAGATAGGTTCCAAAATTAAATTTTAAAAGTCAATTTTTAAAATAAGAAACAAAATTTCACTTAGAAATTATTGCTCCCTGGCTCATCTATAATACACTGAACCCTACAAATAACACTCAACAAGTCACAGATCCAAATCCTCAGAAAGAATCCAAAAACAGCAAGCCTAGATTTAAAGAAAAAGATGTACCTTAAAAGCACTGTCTGACTTTCCTGTGTATTGTTTTTTGTTTTTTTTTAAAGATTTTCTTTATTTATTTGACAGAGACACAGCGAGAGAGGCAACACAAGCAGGGGCAGTGGGAGAGGGAGAAGCAGGCTTCTGGCAGAGCAGGGAGCCTGATGCGGGGCTCAATCCCAGGACCCTGGGATCATGACCTGAGCTGAAGGCAGACGCTTAACGACTGAGCCACCCAGGCGCCCCTCCTGTGTACCGTTCTTAGATCCTGCATATACCTACCTATAGGGATAAACCCACATCTGTCAAGAAAATCATACATATTCAAAAATCACCTTTCTTTCCTTCAAAGAATCCATTCTCTTAAGGTAAAATATCTCAGATTTAAGAGAAAACTCTAAATCAGTGCTTGTTGATGAAAAAATATGTGGTGAAATGACAAGTGTTTCTAACAAAAGGAAGTCAACCTTCTTCCCTAGAATCGGTTTCCCAGACATGAATATAAATTGGAATGGCCACCCAAAAATTCCAGGTCAGGATGTTAAGGCTGAGAAGACAGCCATGAATCATATGACACCTATCCAACACTTGTCTACTCAAGAGGATCCGGAGCAGTGACATCTTAATAATAACGAATAGATCTCGGTTTCTAAATGCCATCCATCCTCAGGAAAAAGAACAATGTTCCTTAGAAATATAGCTGGTTCCAGGCTGAAGGACAAGAAGTACAGGATGAGCCTGATTACTTTAGCCAAAGGTCTCAAAAAAAATGGAAACACATGAAATGGTCACATAAGCCAACATGAGCATAAGTATTAGTAATAATAAATTATAAACCACTGAATAACAAAACACCACAGTGATAAAAATAAAATAAGGGAGGGGCACCTGGGGGGCTCAGTTGGTTAAGTGGCTGACTCTGGATTTTGGCTAAGGTCATGAACTCAGCATCTTGAGATTGAGCCTCTAGTCCAGCTCCCTGCTCAGGAGGGAGTCTGCTTGAGATTTTCTCTACCTCTGTCCCTCCCCTGCTCGCACTCACGCACGATCTCTCACTCTCTTTCTAAAATAAATAAATAAATCTTAAAAAAAAATATATGAGGAACAAACGAAGCTATAGCTTACATTAGGATGTCATTTGCACCTGGAAGTGACTGGTGCCTAGTAGTGCTCAACAATTGTAGAATTTTATTTTTTTTAAGGCCCCAAGGTGGGGCCTGAACTCACAACCCTGAGTATAGAATGATTTACTATGAAAATATGAGATAAATAACAGGGACAGCTTTTAGAATTAATGTAATTAAAGACAAAGGAGATAAGCATCTTGATACAATTCAATATAATCAAATGAAACAACGTGAACTATTCTGGTAATCATCTTAGTGCTTTAGGCAAGACGCATTAATGGATGATAAATTCATGGGTGAAAGTTTGCTGAGAAAAAGGATATTTACATAGTCTTAAAGAATCTGCCACAAAATATTTATTATTCATAGGTACTTACAATAGAAAACCTGGCAGATACTGTCTTAACCAACTAATAAATGTTAACGCCACCAGTAACAGGACAAATAAGAACATTTTAACAAACATCAAAGTTTCCTGCCCAGATAATTCCTTGTCTAAGATGGAATAAGTAAAATCACTCATATTAGCAATCTCTAACTAGGATAATATTGATCTTTCTATGGTATACAAAGGAGGAAAGAGGTTTTTGTGTGTGTGATAGAGACAGGAGAGATCATGAGCGTGTGCAAGAACATGTGAGCTCCGAGCATACCAAGGTTATACAATATAGTTGTATGCCAACCACATGACATGGTTATACAACATCTAAAGCAGTAAAATGAGGTCGGAAAAGATATTAGGATTTGATCTTGACAACAGTTTAGACAATTGTGTTTATGAAATAGTGGGTGAACGAAGTAAAAAAAGTACTTACATTTAACTTTGGGCTGATACTTAATATTATATGGTGAGAAGTCAATGCAATCCACCATTACAGTAATTATATGAATGATCCTATCCAAGAACAACAAATTCTAGGAAAGAACAATTAAGTATTATATTAGAAACTTTCAACTACTGGCATAGCTTCCAAAAATAGTAAGCATCAACAAAAAATATGACTGTCACTCCCATATATAACATATAAGGTACATAAATGAGGTACAGAGTTATAAATACTTCCTAGTTAACTGCTGCGTACCAAGTACCATAATTTTTGTTTCTAGACATTTAGAGAAAATAATTCAGTTATAAGATGCCCATAAGATTCAGCATATAAACCAGTAAACTGAGAATAGAAGAGCAAGGTTCTTAATTAGATTCTTTATGGGGGGAAGGGTGCCTGGGTGGCTCAGTTGTTAAGTGTCTGCCTTCAGCTCAGGTCGTGATCCCAGGGTCCTGAGATTGAACCCTGTATCGGGCTCCATGCTCGGCGGGAAGCCTACTCCTCCCTCTCCCACTCCCCATGCTTATGTTCCTGCTCTCGCTCTCTCTGTCAAATAAAATCTTTAAAAAAAAAAAGATTCTTTATTGGATTCTTCGTGAAAATTATAAGTGCTCATTAAACCCAGTGATAAAACAAAAAAATGAAAAAGATGCTAAGCTCCCTCATACCCTTTTCCTCCTCCTCCTGAAATCCAACTGAAATAAAAAAAATTGATAGAAGCAACAGAGACTCCCTAGAAAAATTTTTTTACAGGCAGGGGGTAGGAAAACTAAAAAACAAAACAAAGGAAATCCCAGCACCGAGTCAAAAAACAATTCTAAAAGAGTGGAATTTTTTTTCCTAGAAGTTTTCCTAGCAAAACTTCTGAGTAACAAGACATACTGAGAGTTCTGAGAAAAAAAGTTAATTAAAACAAATACTGAAATTAAAGATCTAGAAAACAGATGCACTTTCTTCTCCCCTTATTCTCCATTACTATCCACTTTTCCACTTCACTGGACTAATTCACATGTCTGCCCCTCAAAGACAACCTCCCCAATGAGTTAATTAAGGGCCAGGAGGAAGAAAGCAGCAGTGCCGTAGTTAACCACGAAAACTATGTGGCAAAGTCAGTCCACGTGACAATCTATATTTTCATGTAGAAAAGATATCAAAGTTCCAAGTGCTTACTCCTTGCTCACAATTACAAAGTAAAGGACACTTCTAACTACAATTTGTTATCAAGACTGGCAAAGGGGCTCTTTCTTCAGTGAGGAAATGCATTCCAGCTACCGGTATCGCCTTGATCAACAAACACGTACAATCCTGAGGTGTCCTAATACCAACAGAACTAATCCATGAGGAAAAATCCAGTAGCAAACAGAAGAAAACATTAATATATTAGCTCAGCGGTAGAGGAAATATTAGCAACTTAAAAACTCTAATTGTAAAAACAAAAACCATTGTAAAACACTTTCAGCATTTAAATCACAAATGAACCATTGGAGAAATACCAACTCCTAGAAAGCAGCACCAAAACAAAACACAAATAGGTGTAGTAAAAGAAAAGTAAGGAATACATAAAATGAACTAAAAAGATCTAAAACCATCTAAAATGGTACTCAGAAAAAGAAGAGGAGCACCATTAAATAAAGCAAGGCAATTTTCCTGAGATGAAGGCACAGCTCTTTAGACCTAAACGGTCTATATCAAGGACTGAAAAGAATAATTTAAAAAGATGCCACAAGAGACAAGCTGGTAAAATGTGTACATTCTAAAGACCAAAGAAAAATCCCACAATTTTACAGAAAACTTAAGAAAAAAAATCACTATCAAACTATGCATTTGCAAAAATACAAGCTATAACAAATGAGTAACTTTAGTCAAAATTCTATAATATAAATTCGCTGGAACCTAAAAATAATAACTAATCAATTGATTATGTGAACAAGAAGCTATCAGTCATATATATGATTGTTGAAAAGCCTTTTTTATTAAAGAATTAATAAATCACAGTGAAGCAAAACAAGGGAAAATAATAGGATACAGGAAACTAAGATGAGCAACAAAATACCCTCAAAATTTGAAAACCTATTTATTTTCCAAGTTTTATAGTACCTTGTATAATAAATAGCGTAGTAAGTAAAATTCAGATTTTCAACAAAACTTGAAAGGTGTTAAAGTGTAAAAACCTGTGGGATAGTGATATCAATGTCTTTGCTTGCTGGGGTAAAATGGATAATTAACTCTTCAAATTTGACAGATGAAGTTTCAAGAGTAGTATCTGAAAGAAGCGGATTTCTGGTTCAAAAGAAGATTAAATACACTTATTAAAGACTCCTATATTTATTTATATGCTAGAAAAAGACACAGAAAGGTTAAAACAAACTGAGAAATATATACAAAGAAAATCCTACATCTATACAATGGAAAAATATATAATAATTACAATAAATGAACTTAGTTAAATACAACATGGATGAACCTTCCAACTAAAACACTGAGCCCAAAAGACACACAATATGACTTAACTGTAAAATTTTAAAAGGAACACTGCTAAACAAATGTACATAATATATAGGTGTGGTGTAGAGTAAAAATATTTTTAATGAAACAAATTTTCAAAAAGTCAGGACAGTAATTCTCTCTTAAGGGACAGGAGGGTATGGTGATTCAAAATGCATAGGGGAGCATCTGAGGTGCTGACAATGCTCTATTAACGGACTTGGGTGATGCCTACATTAGTATTTCTGTATGATAATTTGTCAGACTGAACTGTTTCATGCATTTTTCTTTGTTGTTTCTGTTTTTTAAAAAAAGATTACACAAATTCTCAAAAAGGTGTGTGTATTAATATCAGTTAATATCAAGTTGGCAAATTCAAAAAAGGCAGTAAAGAGGAACTCATTATTGTGAAGACAAAGTCACAACTTAAGTATGATGGTGTAGCATTAAAATACATAATAAACGTTTTCAAATACATCAAATTCACAAGGAGGGAGACCCTTTATCAGAAACAGGTGGTAGGGGGAAGATGGCAGACTAGAAGGATCCTAAACCACCTCATCCCCAAAATACACCTAAGATCACACCCACATCAGTACAAATAACCCAGAAAATGATGCATAAACTGGCAAAACATACTCTCCATGTCTAAAGGTAGAGAAGTGGCTACATGGCAAGCAGAAGGAAGGGTGGAGATGAGCTTGGGGATCAAGCTGGCTCACAAAATAGTCCCCCCCAGTAGGGAGGGCCACTGCAGGCACAGAGGAGAGAAGCAGACCCTATCCCAGGCACCAGAAAGATGAATCCTTGTAACATTTGGCTTTGTGTGGGGCTCAACACCTGGAACTTTAAAAAATCATATGGCTGGGCCAGGACCGCCAGCAGAAACTGAGTCTCCACCCTTAAAGGGATAGCATAACAACCTCACTGAGGTACAGCACAGATACAGCAGTTTGAGAAATGCCTGAAGTACAAGGGAAAGACATCTGGAACTGATCTCCAAACAAGTGCTGAAGGGGAAGGGATCTTTAAGAGACTTATCCAAGAACAAAAGCTGGCAGGTGCAATTTCGCTCCCCAACACCCAGGCTACATACACGGACATGTACAGGAACTAGCACAGCACGAATACTCTCCACCTAGCTTGCTAACAGCTTGCCCTGCCCCCGTATTCTGCTGTGGACTCACCCCTCCAACCTGCCCATGGCCTGGCAGTGTGCAAGCAGCCCCGATAAGGATCAGCAGGACTCCAAAGTGACACCTGTCCTGGGGAAAGGGGAACATAACCATATATACCATTCCATCTGTGGCCCCAGCAGTGGACTGGGAGCAGACGTCAGGTCTGACTGCAGGCCCCACCCACCAATGAAAACTTCTCAGGGGACAACACAGGGAAAACAACATGCAGTTCCTTGCTACTGCATCTCTGGCAAACACCTAGTCTGACTCAACTCAAGCCCAAGGTGGTCCCAGACTGGCTCACTAACAACACAGGGATAAACCCTGCCAAGAGGCAAAACCACTACAGAGGACTGAAGGCAAAAGTGACTCAGGCACAACAGCAGGGCTCATACAACAAATATATGAGACACCCTGAAGTGCCAGGTTCTGGTGAACAGGGGACACTGCACTGCAGGGCACTACAGGACCTCTTCCTCACACGGCCACTACTTACAAAAGCAGGAGATATAGCTGATGTTCCTAACATGCAGAAACAGACACAGAGAGTTAGATAAAATGAGGAAACTGAGGAATATGTCCCAAATAGAAGAACAGGGTAAATCCCAGCAAGAGACCTAAATGAAATGGAGAGAAGTAATACACCTGACAGGAAATTGAAAATAATGGCCATAAAGATGCTCAATGACTTGACAAAAGACTGGAGGGCCTCAATGAGATCCTGAAAAAGAGAAAACATAAGGGGCACCTGGTGGTTCAGTCGGTTAAGTGTCCAACTCCTAATTTAGGCTTATGTCATGATCGCAGGGTCCTGGGATTGACACCCGCATCAGGCTCCGAGCTCAGCTCCGAGTCTGCTTGTCCTTCTCCCTCTGCTCCTCACCGCCCCCCACTCTCTCTCTCCTCCTCTCTCAAATTAATAAATAAAATCTTTTTTAAAAAAAGAGAAAACATAAAAGCCCATCAGAGACAGAAGAACTCAATAATGGAACTAAAAAAACACTAGATGGAATAAATAGTAGACTAGATAAAGAAGAACGGATCAGCGACCTGGAGGAAAGAGTAATAGAAAGCAATCAAGTTGAACAAAAGAGAAAAAGTAGTAAAAGATGAAAATAGACCATGGAAATTTAGTGACACCATCAAGCGTAAAACACCCACCTTATAGTGATCTCAGAAGAAGAGACGGCAGAAAATTTGAATAGCTGAAAACTTCCCAACCCTGAGGAAGTCAACAAGTCCCAGATCCAGCAGGCACAAGACAGACCCCAACAGAATCAGCCCAAGAAGGTCCACACCAAGACACAGAGTAATCCAAATGGCAAAAAGTAGTGAGAGAGAATTTTAACAGCAGCAAGAGAAAAGAAAACACAGACAGGGGAAACCCCATATGGCTATAAAGCTGATTTTTCAGCAAAAATCTTGT